AACATGCTGCACTGTGAGAACACTATAGTTTATATAGAGCTGCACATCAGGAAAATATATGATTGCAAATTGCCAACAGATAATTGGAAGTCATATTAATAATAATGTTTCTCTGAGTCTTTCCTTCGTTACATAATGTCCCCTCCAATCTCCCTGTGCTTCAGTATCTACAATACATATCGACTCATTTAGTTAGAGTTAATCTAACAGAGCATATATTCTCCTAACAGGCAAAGAGTAAACACGTAGCGCTTAAAATGCTGAATCCTATAAAATGTTTCTCTCAAGCAGTCCTTTGTGATCACAGTTTTACACACAGACACTGCCCTCTGGTGTGGGCGACAGGAACTGCTGAGCTGCAGGTAGGTAATGAACACGAGGACAGTTCACGTACTGTACTACATATATGCTTCTTAACATGCATATATGTAGATGTAATCTATAGATAAGGAGCAGCAGGACGTTTGGTTGCCTGAAAAACGTCTCAAAGAGCACTCTGGTATATTTCATCAACAGGTTTTTGTTAGAAGCTTTTTAATATCACCTTTTTTTTCTCTTGTCCTTTTCTCCTAAAAGTACTTAATCAATTTTGAACATTCTTCTTCCTCTGAAGAACAACAATGAAACAATAAGTGAAATTGTTTACATTGGATATTATCTTGACATTTAGCCCTGGGACAGACTGGCGACCAATCCAAGGTCACCCAGCCTCTCGACCAGAACCTCCCAACCCCGCTGGGGACCAGGGTGCTAGAAAATGGATGGATGGATGGAATATCTTGTCTTTTATATTATTTTACTGTGGCTTCGTTCTGATGTTAAAGTTTTGGTATTTTAAGGTAATACTTTAGAATGCATATGTCCTATTGAGTAACAAAAATCCTCTTAAGCAAAGATCACCTCAATAAAATTTAGATGTTGAATGAGTGAAAATATCCAGGTACTGTTTTTTATTTTTTGTATAACTGCTACAAATTGACAAAATATTGGACTGGATTATTTTATACTCTCTGTAATAATCTCTTCAGATTTCCTCACCTATATTTTTTTTTACAGCTGCACTCTTCTGCTCCTTTGTAGCAAACTAGAGTATAACAATAGATGGAGGTGTAGATGCCATCTGCTGTAGGTAAGAAGATGTAACTGGTTAGCAAAGAAAACCAAATGACTTAGGTTCAGTCATCCAAGTCTCACTGGTGGATTCATGTTTTAATTTATTCAATATTTTTATCATGTTGCACAATGACATTAAACTTTAATTTAAACCGCGGCTCTACTGGGACTTTTAGGCACATCATGTTGGGTTTATAGAGAACGATTAGTCTTGAATTAGGTCATTGATAGTGGTTTCTATTACACTACCAGTGCGATTGTTCCTGATTACAACTTATAAGCCAAATACTAACAACAAATGTTTCTAATGGGCTAATGGATGAGAGATGAAAAAGAAACAAGGACAATTGTTGGATGCAAGCTGAAAAGTGTTTGTGAGAAACCATCTGATCAAACAACGTCACCTATAATTGATGCAACTTTCCTGTTAGATTCATAACAATCACAGAAAGTTCTTTGATATCCATAAAAACATCCTTCTATGGGAGGGAGACATTTTATTTCAGAGCCCAGTTTTAATGTGGATCATTCCTAACACCATTCTTTTCAAAAGTTGACTTTATTGGTTTATTACCAGCATGCCTGAGGCCATACAGTTAGCAGTATATTCAAGCTAACCAAAGGAAGAAATCACTTTGAAATTAATCAGACACAGAGATATCTCTGCTGGAAACACTTCTTCATTATGTTTGGAGGAATATCAGTGATTGGGTAAAACTATAAAACTAGGGTCAGTACCAAATCACTATTTTATTTGTAAAACAGGACCATTTGTTGAAATTATACCAGATGGGTATTGTGTCCTGTTCTTTGGAAAAAAAACTGGGAAGCAGAAGATCCAGAAGACACACACACTATCCTGAACATTGTGTGATCACCTATAAACTTCCTGCATTAAAAGGCTACTTTTGCATTCTGCCAAGATTTGTACAAAAAACAGTTTTTGTTTTCTCAATAAAATGTTTGACTGAATTCAGTTGATGCACATCTCCACCTTCATTTGCAAAACTAATGTTCACAGCAGAAGACACTTTTTCTTCATTTTGTATGGGCACAATTGTTGACATTTTCTGGCGGTAAAGGGTGGTTGAATTGGTAAATTAGTTAATACGTAAATGCAAATCTAAAAACATCCCAATTTTACACACAACCTAGAAATTTTCTGGGAAGTGTATGTGCAAAGGATGCTAGTCCCATTTCTGCAGCGTGAGTCAGACGAGAATGTAATCACACATTTAGTTATTCTGGAGCATTGCTGCTAAACCAAAACCAAACCCAGGAAATATTTTGGTTTTTAACGCTGAAGCTTCAGACATACAGTTGAAACCAGAAGTTTTCATTCACCAAATTAAAAAATTCTGAAAAAAAAATTTCTTGTGCAGTTTTCTGGCATTTGTCACATAGAAAACCTTCTGATAACTTAATCTAAAACAAGAGAAATTTGTATTTAACTTCTATCAGTAAGAAACAAAATGTGTATCTGTCTCTTTATTCAGTGTATTTTGGAAAACATCCATTATGGTTACCTTTCACTGACTGTCACATAATGACAGTGTATTTAAAAGCGCTAGTGAAAAGCAGCAGGAAGGAAATTTGAAAATATCTGTCACAGATACATTATGGACAAATCTTTGATGCAAATCATCTTTTTTCTACAGACCATATTTTAAGTACCCTGTGACATACAGATCCATATTTTGTGAAAATATGGAGAAACTGCGGTTTTCTTGACGTTATATGACAAGAGCCATTTCTCCAAAAATGATGAAATAAAAAATCTCACAAGTGTCTGCGACTGCTCAGCTTTCCTAGAGGGCGCTGTTTGTTTTTTTTTCCTCCAATAACTGTTTCTATTAAAATGCTCCCCAGGTTTATGGAGTGAAAATAATCTGGAACCGTTTTGCTCTCTTTTGCACAGATGTTTGCAAGAAGCTTCGGTTCTTCCTTTAAGACACACTTGCCCAGAACATGCGGTAACACACATACACACACAATGGTCTCTTTGGCTCCCCAGGTACTCTGTGGCTTCTGTGCCTCCAGGCAAGAACACATTTTACACACCCCATTCACACACACACCGAGACACGTGCAGACACACACCGAGACGCGCAAACTGAAATATGTGCTTATTAAAATGTCAGCTTTAATATCTAAAATAACTCACCAGCTAGACACCAATGACTTCCTTAATTGATTGGGCTTTTTATATATTTCTGTGCATCTCTTCAAAGCAAGTCAAGTTTAACTATTGCTGCAGGGGGACAGGAAGACTCAACTTTGTGAAAAGATTATGGAGGAGGTCTGGTATCTGGGATGTGGGGAGTGTTTGGAAAGGAGGACTGCATCAGACAGTGGGCAAACACTACTGTTGGCTTGAAAACATACCCACACACACATATGTCTCCCAAGGGCTTCAGTGGGAACGAGAGATAGCCCTGTCTCTACTGTGTGTGGCTTCTGATCAAACAGGTAAGTGTGACTTTGCACTTTGTTTCTCTTGTGCCACTGCTTCCTCTTTGTGTGGCTGGAAATGATCACCACTACAATGCATGCTTGAGTCTTTACAGTAAACTCCTGACAGCGTTCTGAGTTGTTGCGCCGCAAAGCAGCGTGGTGCAATCAGGTCAATCAAGTTCTTGTTCCTGATTGTTCAAACCTTTCCTGCAAATTACCTCTGCTTAAAAACTTTTTGTTTGTGAACTTGTAGGGAAACTGCTGTGTGCATGTTACTGTAACCATCCATGCAATCAGGAAATTATTACAGTATTTCCTCTAATAGACGATGTATGTTGAAGAAGCCGTCTGCTACTGCAACTCAAACCGATGTTTCAGTCTTTTTTTCAGCGTTTCAGATTAATAACAATTGTTGAACCTCGGCTTCAGAGTGAGACTCGCAGTTCTATGTGAAAATGTGTACTTCTGTGTAATAATATTCTAGATGTACATAATATTATAATTTGATCTGGATTGTTTAAAGGGGCAGTATTACGTGTTTTCCGGCTATATAGTATCACTTTATAGAACAATCAAGCAACTGTTAACTTCATTTGTTTTGAAATATTGTATATTTGTATTTATACTTATACTTTATACTTGTATTTATATTTATAAAGGAAACTGAACTTTGTGATTAAGCGCCTTTCTGTTTCAGAAACTCCTCCTCTTTCTAACACCACCTTCAGAAAGTCATCACATTGTCTCTCCTCTACTAACCTCTTAAGTACGTTTTTAGCTGCGTTGAACTGAGAAGTAGTTTGTATAATGATGCACTGTTCCGTCAGGTGTCTGCTAATTGTTGCTGGCTAGTCTGAAGGAGCTGAGTGACCTGTCCTGTGGGAGGGGTGCTGTGTAACATGAAAATCAACCCTCCAAGGGGAAACTTGTCTTGAAGGCAGAGCTAGGTCCATCCATGGCATTTTGCCACGGAGATCAAATGATTTCTCAAACATGCGTGTTAGTGTAACACCCAAGTGACATTAAAACACTATATAAAGCTCAAAAAGATAGATTTTACATAATACTGCACAATATTCCTCTGGCAAGACAAGAAACATTGAATCCATTATTTGCTGTCCCAGATTATAGAGCAGCTTTGATTATCTATTTTCACGTTTTGTCATCTTATGTTTAAATTGCTTTTCTGATGGAAGACACGTTTCCTCTGTCAGTCTTAAATCTTCTACAGCCTCTTAACAGTTGTACTTCCATGATAGCTCTTTTATCCTGAACCGCGCTCATCGACTCTGATCAGCTTTTCTGTTGATGCTTTCTACGCTGGTAACATGAGAAATGAGCCACGTTCAGGAATGGTTTGAAATTATTTAACTGTTACATGACCTACTTTTCTTGACTTTCACCATCAGGCTCAGAGACAAAACCATTAATCAATGGTTATTTTCTTGTTTGACTCATTGACAGATGGCTGCCCTGTTCTGTGGCGTGTTGGTGCTGCTGCTGTGTGACCTCGACTCTGCATGGGCCACATTAGTCACTGATATGGACTATGGAGGCATTCCTCTGTGGATTAACCGCCTGCTGGGTGAGCCCAGCGTTTTAAGTCTGCAGGGAAGGATTGACCCGGCCTGGTTTCGAGCTAACAATGACCAGGTCTGTCCTGAGCAGTGTGACTGTCCCATCCACTGGCCGACATCCGTCTACTGTGACAGCAGAGGCCTTGAAAACATCCCCCATGGCCTGCCGCAAAGAACCCAGTACTTGTTTTTACAGGTGAAATAACAATGAAATGCAGAAATTTTATTCCTTTTCCATGATGTTGTCCATTCACCAATCTTCTTTCCCTGCTAACTCACCCTACTGCCAGAAGATGTCTACAATCATGCTTGTACAAAAACAATATTCTTCGAGCAGAGTCAAAGTTAAACAAAGATTATTTGAATATTGCACATACAGCAGATTTAAATTTAGCTGTTTAATGTACAAAATTAGAGTAAAATATTTTGTCACAAGTGCAATCATTAGACAGTGGCGAATTTCTTTCAATACAATCCCTAGTATTTCAAAATGCATCAATTGACATTAGTAACATACACACAGATCATGTTTATGAATAAATACCTTTTTTAGAAAATTTGCATAGGTAAGTCCTGTTTGGGTGATGTTCATGTTTTAAACTATGCAGAGGAGCCAAAGTACCGTGAACATTTCAGAACCTGGAAGGTTAATATAAAAAGATCTAAACCTTTTACCTTTAAACTGAAAGCCTCACCAATAGAGTCACTGAGGAGCCATGTTCATTTTCACAACTTAAACTGCAATAGAAAAAAAAATCTAGCATCTTTAGGGATGCATTTTCTTTTGTTCCCAGGGCAACAAGATCTCATCCCTGTCCTACCCGGTCCTGGCTAATATTACGGGTCTGCGCTGGCTAATCATCGACAACAACCAGCTGGAGAGCAACGAACTGGAGCTGGCCTCTCTGCAGAACCAGACTCAGCTGCGCTACTTTTTCGCGAACCGCAACAACCTGACGTCGGTGCCTGGCGGCTTGCCGGCCGGTCTCAAACAGCTGCGGCTGGCCTACAACCAAATCAGCAGCATCAGCCCTGGAGCTTTCCAGAACCTGCAGAATCTTACGCTTCTGTTGCTGCAGGGAAACAGGCTGCAAACCATCACAGAGGGTGACCTTAAAGGTGGGGTCGTTTTTTAGTTCTGCTATTCGTACGTGTGGACTCAACCTCTGGGAAATAGACCAGCCCCAAATCCAAAATGCATTCAAAAAGCAAAATTTGAAGAAACTATTAGGGTTTCAGAATTAAATCAATAAATTATTTTTCATTTTACTGAAATGTTAATCAAACATCACAAAACTTTGGTCGGCAAAGCTCATCATTAAATTTTTCTGTTGCAAATGTTGGTAGGTGCAGATGGTTTAATCTGACAGAAATTGGGCTGATAAGGTTAAAAGATCCAGAGATGAGAAATTAAACATTTCTAATAAATTCAGAAAACATAAAGGTCAGCAGTTTCTAATATTGTGCATCTATTTCTGCACATTAGAGAAATAAATCAGCAAAATTAATTTGGAGCGCTATCTCATCATTCATTGACAGAGGATATTTTTTACTCTTTATTTTTAATAAGTCATCTGGATTTTTACCCTGTGAAGATGTTAAATTAATTTCCTACTTCATCATAAATAAGAAATGAACAACATGCATAACCTTTTAACTGAAACCACTCTCAAAAACACTGAAATATTTCATTTACAGTATATCTTCTGCAGTGTTTGTAGACTTGTTGGGTATTTAATGCATGTTTTATATCTGCAGTAAAAGCAAAAAAGGATAAAATAAATTAAGTCTGTTTGTTTCTCATCTGTTCTCATCTTCCTTCGGGATAACAAATCACATTTTGTCTGGTTTTACTCCTGCATGTGTGTGAAGACGTTCTTCTGTCTTCTAGGTCTCATCAGGCTGAATCTGTTGGACATCAGTGGAAATTTGTTCTCAGCTGTCCCCAGCCATTTACCTCCCTCTGTCCAGCAGCTTTATTTGTCCTACAACAACTTCTCTGGGCTGGACGAGGGCAGTTTTGAGGGTTTTTTCAATCTGAAGTATCTGCGTCTCAGCCACTGCGGCCTGCAGAGCAGCAGCGTCCACCCACAGGCCTTTAACCACTCCAGCCTGGTGGAGGTGGACCTCTCTTACAACAGGCTGACCACCACCCCCACGGTTCCAGTAACCCTGCAGTACCTCTACCTGGAGGCCAATAACATTCAAGGTAATGTGCTGACTCCTTGATACACACATGCATCATGAACACAGAGGCTTTGATTAAAGCTGCGACTCAAAGAGGGAGAAAATGTATCAAAAAACTGTTTGCAGCGTCAGCACTTTGCAGACATGTTGCTGCATATGAATGTGGGAGGAGTTTGGGCTGCATGGCAGGAAAGTTGGGACAAAGATGTAAGAAAAGGGTGGAAAAGGGGAGAAAAGTGACTGAATATTAATTGGTTGGACGTGAGGAAAGTAGGTTAAAAGCAGGGAGAGGGTATGAGAACATCTGGGAGAGATTCAGACGTAGGAGCGCCAGATGGAGCAGAAGCTGAAGCTGCTCCCCTCCCCAATCTGTTTATCTGTCTGCTCCCTGTTGCTTTAGCTGGTTTGATGGTGCATTAATCTCCAGGAGCCAAAATCTGCCTGACAAGACTTCCGACAGAGCATTTCAAAGTATTTCTGCTCTTTGAACTTTTTCACATGATCCTGTTTATTGGGGTTTTATGTAGACATCACAAGTATATAATTGTAAAGAAGGACAGAGGCTCCTCATGGTTATTCCACCAAATATTCATGTCTGGATTCTTCCTGAGTTAAAACATTAGTATTGTTTCTAAATGAATATGAACTTGTTTTCTTTGCATTATCTGAAAGCACTGCTTTTTTGTTGCATTTTTCATTTTCTGCAAATAAATACAACATTTTTGCTTGGAATTTCAGAGACATGTGGTCAGTAGTACATAAAATAAAAGAACAAAGTTTATTTTATGCAAACATATACACATAAAGAGTAAAATCAGAGAAACCGATCATTTTAAGTGGTCTCTTGGGTCCCTTTATTACGCCGTATGACAACCAGAGGCGACGCCACAACGTATTTACTCGAGGGGCTCAAAACGTACTTACAACACACTTTTCAGAGGCGTATTTGCAGAAAATTTCAACAGAATAAGTTGAAGTTTGTGATTTTAATGTGACAAAATTTAAAAAGTAAGGATATTTTTGCGAGACTCTACAATAGCAGGAGTTGTATAGTGAGTTGTTAGTGAGTTCTGGCAAAGATAAAAATGTGCTCTGGTTTTTTAATCTGCTTTCGCAAAGAACAAAGGAACTTTATCCTAATGAGACAGACAGCCAACAGAAAACCTTCGGCATGAAAACACCTCACTGTCTCAGAGCTCCTCCTGACGGAGGCCAACAGAGTGGGCTGGAAGAAGCTCTGCAGTGGGTTAAGAAGGAAATGGGTTGAGTAGTTTCCACTGCTTCTTTTTTCACCCCTGCACCTGAGACCTCTAATGGTAAATGCAGACTCTGTGAGTGGAGGACCAGACTGCAGCAGGCTGTTTTTGACAGACAAATTGCATAATATGTCTGAGTTAGTCGAACTTAGGGGGTCACACATGGAAAAGAAACGCTTCAGTGTGAAACTGACGCTCCGCCAAATATAAACAATGACCTGACAGATCGCCGACCGTCACCCTGGGGAGGATAACGAGTTTCAAACTATAAAGTAACCATCTGAATAATGCCATCTGTTTTCTACAGAGTTCAACGTGAGCAGTTTCTGCAGGGAGGTAGGGCCTCTGTCCTACTCCCGGATGAAGATCCTACGCCTGGATGGAAACAAAATGGCACGCCACCAGCTCCCCCCTGATTGGGTACACTGCCTCCGAGTGCTGCAGAGAATTTTCATCTGACTCGGAGAATAACTTCGACACGAGTACATGGTGTACCCCTCGGACCCGGACAGGTGCTGAAGCACCTCAGCTTGTTGATCATGTCATCACATTAAAGCTTGAAATCAGAGTGTCAGGTTCTGTGTTTTTCTGTGTTTAATTCTGAGTTTCTGTGTCCTGAGTTCTCCTCGTTGTCCTGTCTTCCCCTTGATTGTTCCCAGGTGTGTCTTGTTCCCTTGATTACCCTCAGTGTATTTAGTCCCTCCTGTGTCCTCTGTTCCTCTTCGGGTCCTTGTCGTACTTTTGCCTCTGTCTGCTGTTGTGTGTTTAGCCGCCTGTATGACCAGTTGCTACCGGCGTTGAGCCCTGGCTTCCGCTCAGCCGTGCTGCCTGGCCGCGGACTCTGTGTTTTTGTGGACTTATTTTCATTAAATTACTCACCATTCACCTACCTGGGTCTCCAGCGTCTGCCTCACCATCTCCACTTCACCATTTCATGACACAGAGGGGCGAGTTGTGATTTACGTTGTTACGGTGTAAAACTGTATTTATCAGGTTTACTGTCGACAGAGGGCAAAACAAAGCTTAATGTTTGTTAATGATAAGATTTCAGAAGTTATAAACATTTTAGAAAGCAGGAAAAAAGTTGATTCTAGTTTGTATTTGGGTCAGTGGTATCACAAGAGGCACAATAATCAAGTTGATCGACTGGCATTGATGTCATGATAAACGAGAGACTTGATTTTGACAAAAGATTCAGAATCACTCAAGTTGCACAGAGTTCAGCCTTAAATGTTTGGTGCCAAAGTCTCAAAGACCCAGAAGAATTAAATTATGATTAAATTACTATCGATATTTCTTTTTTAATCAGATAACTCACACTTCCACTTGTAAAATTAGTGTCATATTCTGCTTGTGTCACCTTAGATAGCAACAGGATTTATCTACTAAAGTCATATTTTAATTCTGGAAACATGTTTCTTATAAGCAGAAGTAAAGTTGAGGTTTTGGAGCGGCCCAACCTGAGTCCTGACTTGAATCTGAAAAGACAATTTGTGATTATGATGGGGGACTTTTCAACAATAAATAAGTTTATGCTACATACTTTTCCAGGAGGAGTGAATTCTGCAGGTCAGTGACTTGGTGTAATTTGCTGGGTTTCCTTAGACAGAAATTTGTCAATCTACTCTAATTAACGGTGCTGTTTGATAACTAGAACGTATGATTACATAACATGAGACATTTGTTGTGAATTGGCTCTATTTAAATACTCTGAATTAACCTGAAATGAATTTTGCTCTGCCTTCCCACCTGCAGCCTCTCAATTCAATGTTTTTCACTGGTATGAAGCTTTTCAAACAATATGCAAACAAATGAAAAATGTTGTACAAACGTAAAATAAGAGGTGCCACAGAGCAGTAGCCTTTTATTGCTCATGTTTTCTTACTTTCATTTGAATTTCTCATGAATCAGGACATTATACGTCCAGTAACTTTTACTCAAAACCATTTACTGAACTTGCTGTGTTCAGGGAAAACAGAAAATAATTATTTTTAAGATCAAGAAAATAGCAAGCACTTGACCCAAAATTTGAACATTCACATTTGCATGTCTACAATAATTTTAGTTGTTATTTTGGAGTAATTTGTTCATATAATAAATGTTTGTGTCTTCAGTTTAATGTTGAGAAAGTAGAGAAATTAATAAAGAAGTTATGTTTCTTGTCATCAATGAATTACTTTTATTGAAGGATTTAATATGGAGACCATTGGTAAAAGCTCTGGTTCATGCAGTAGCTAACTGGAAAACATGTTGGGCTGCCAGCTCCATCTTATCCGACACATTCACACGGTTTAAGTGGTTTCGCTCTCTCAGCCTAAGATCTCCTGCTCTTTTGAAGAAGGTTACATTTTTCTCACAGCAGAGGAGACGCTTGGTTTCCACGCTCCACTTCAGCTTGAATTGCTCCAACGGCCAGTTTTACATAACAAACTCAAACTGAGAGCCATTATTTATCCCCTCCAGATGAAGTCACTGGACAGATAAACTTTTTATGAAACCGGGTCTCATAACGTTCTAATCTTTCCTTTTATTCCTTTGGTGGAACACGGCCTGTACGGGTCAGGTACAGTTTGCTCCATGTAACAAATTACTTGGTTTCCTAGCTTTTAAATGTTCTTTTTTCCTCATAGATTTAAAGCCAGAGCTGCTGCTGTGTCCCATTACCGCTGCTCAGACATTACATAAATGGGACCAGGTTCAATTCCACAGATATGTAAATGTCCATCCAAAGTATTCCTGCGGAACTTAAACATTTTTAATATTTCTTATAATTATATTTCTGCTTTAACAGTCAAAGTCATATAATTTTGAACAGGTTTTATGTTGCAGCATAAGTTGGGAAGAGGTGAAACAATGTCAAAGAAACTATTACAAAGGCTCAAATACAGCATTTGGGTGCGAGCCAGCGTCAGTAAAACTGAAAACAGCGTGCTTTTCATTATGAAGGTGAAGGGGACAGGAGTTGCCAAGCCCAGTAATTGAGAATCACTGGGATGAAGCCAGAAACGGTCCAAACTGAGGGGACGTGGCGCTGGTCCAGAGACGTGAGCAGCAGAGGAGCAGGGCATGTGAAGTCAGACAAACTGAGCTTGAGGAGGAAAAACTGGCCAAATGGAGATTAAACATTACAAGTGTCACATGTTTTTTATATTTGCAAAACAAGTGAAAAGGCAAAAGATAATTTTGACAATGTTTTTGGATGATAACATGTATTTCAAAGTTTAATGTCAACTGACCTGAAGAGAGCAGCTACATTTATACCTGATGGGCCATTTGTCCACATAAAAGGTGTTCAGTCATGAAATCATTTATAGTATATAGTACTTTTGGATACAATCCAGATAAGAATAATAAATATCATAAAAGCCCTGGTGTTGCTTTTCTCATGACACATAATTACAAAAAAAGGAATAAAAGATTTGTACAAATGACAAACTAAACCATTCATAAATATTTAACAAACATTTAGTTACACTACATAAAAATACACATAACAAGCTTTTCCTTTTTCAGATGAATCAGAATGATCAAAAATATTTATATTTGCTTAATGCCAAAATAATAATGGAAAGTTTCTATGACATTTAGAGTACAACTTTTTTGAGTTGCCTTTTTTGTGCTTAATCCACTTTGGAACTAATTTGGTTACGTGCTTAGAGTAATTGTGTATTTAAAGTCCCTTTGACTTCTTGACTGTTGTTTTAAGATGTTGCTTCTATATTTTTCTTTCCACAATAAAATCCAACCACATGACATAACGCTGCCACACATCACAGCTGGGACAGAGCTTCCCCATTTCCTGTTGAAAAGTAATTATAATAATTGTGGCCAAACACTCTTAACTTCAGTTTCACGAGACTACAGACAATACCCAAAGGAAAGCTGGCTTTTTTTATGCATATATATATATATTTTTTTTTTTTTCAGGAAATGGCAGCTTCCTTGCTGTAATTGGCCTTTTTGTTAATGAAGACAATTTTTTTTTTTACCATTATAGAGAACAAGGTAGTTTGCTTTTGCACTGCAACTGATGCACACTTTGGACCAAAATGTGTTTATCTCTAAGACATAAAACCCATTTAGTTTTTATATGGCTCCATTAGACATTCCCATGCTTTATATACAAGTGTAAATAATTGAGCAGAGAAACCAGAAGCATCTGGAGATTGTTCCCAAGGATGACCCAGACTTATGGAGTTTTCCTATTAGTTAAATCCTTCCAATTTTCCCATAACGTCACAACAGGAAGGAGTGTTTTTGAGATGCTGGATTAAAATTCATTAACAGGTTTGCCTCCATTTAACTTAAACATTGTGAGTTAACCTATCCAAAGGTCACAAAGTCATGACCTTATCGCCTGTACTGTCCCAGATTGTAATCTTAGTGTGCATAAATATCCGACTTCAAACATAGCAATAAACTGTTTCTTTTACTTTTCATTCTGGCATTTGGCAAATAAAATAATGTTGGTAGTCGCAAAAAACTATGCATACATACCAAAATGTTTTCACTTTTTAATTCTAATATTTTTGGAAGTCTTAAGAATAAAACTCTGTACAAAAAAAAAAAAAACTTATTCAAAACCCCTTCAAAATTATACCAGCCACAAGACATCTGCATGTGTGTTTCTGGGTGTGCCATGTTCTAATATCAGGTTTACTACCATATTTTCCAGGTGACACCATGTCTTAAAACCTCTGGTCAGCGTTGTCTTGTGTCTGGAGCCGCTATTACCAGAGACAGGAGATACACAGACATCAGCCTGAGAGGGACGAGCATCAACCATTAACCAGTTTGTTCCATTAATGGCCAACAGTCTGCTAGGCGTCATGAAGTCATGAAGGACGGAGAAAAGTTCAGACGAAAGACCCTGTGACTGACCAAAGAGCAGTTATTTATCTTCCTGCAGTGTTTTTTTTAGTTTTTGCTGTGTTTTTAAACACAAGCTCTCTTTGGTTCCTTTTTCCAAATAATATTTGATTTGTCCAACAGGGTAGTTTAATTAACTTCCAAATTATGAGTTAATCAGGAATGTGGTTTTGTGGTCCTTAAACTCTTGTCTCCTATACATTTTAGATGTTTTCCTGCACCTATACAGCTCTGTTAATTGACAAAATTTTAAGCGCTGCATGTTATAAAGTTCCCCAAGACCTTGTCCATAATCCACCCATCTACATGAGTTGTGTTAAAACAGGGCATATTAAGATAATACTGTACTATAGGCAGATCACAGGAACCATGTCAGTAGAGAATTTGGTGGAAGGAAAAAGTGTTGTTGAAAACAACCCACAAGCAGAAACGATAACCACAACCTTCAGTGGATTATTGTGCTAGTAGCTTGGAGAAAACGCCAGACCTGCATGAACCTGCACAGATAAGAGGGACCAGGCATTGGCTAACTGCCACCATGCTGCAGCACGTTATCATCAAAATGAACTTAATAAATGCTTCAAGTAGTGTGGATCAGCCTGTATGCAATGAATTTTTCAAAGTACTCATTGAATTACCCCAGTGGTCAACATGCAAGACACATTATAAAAATCCACTAATTCAATCCATTATGAAGCC